TAATTTACATACTGTATTTATTTATGATACTCACCGAAGGAATAGGCTCTGCAACCATTCCCTTAGGGTGTGGCAGTCCTCCCCAGTTCTGCAACCTTCGGTGAGCAAGCTCTTTCCACTTGGGCTTAGGAGCTGCATAAATTTGTTGCATAAGGTACTCTTCTTCCTCTTGTGTGATAAAATTTGGGATGTAGTATGCAGCAGCTGGAGCCTGATGGTGCAAATACCAAGTAAAAAATATTTAATACTGTGTACAAACTGGAATGGGAACCATTTCCTGCTTTACACAAGACATCCAAATCATTTGAAATAGCCTACCTGTACATCTTGTAACTAAACAAATAAAATTAATTTAAAATCTATTTCAAGGTATAGTTTATATACTATAGCTAATTTCTTTCACTTCTTATAATTCATTTTGTATCCTGTTATTTTCTAGTCGGATACAGTAGCTAATTATATCTTTTATAATCTAAAAAATGTACAATGTCAAATAGTGTTCAAATGATGGACAGAAAAAGTTTTAACAAAGTAAATACTGTAATTAATATTAAAACTTTCAAAAATAATACAATACACAATACAGTCAGATCTCCACATAAACACGAGTGACCAAATCAAGGATCTTAGAATAATAATGTTAGAATGAAAACTTAACATTTAGAGTGCAACAAAGCAATTATAGCAACAGCCAGATAAATGATGGGTCAGATAATGAAACAATTATAAAAAAAAAAGGGAAGCAAAAACTATTCTGGTACTCTTCAAAGCACTGGTACTACTATATATTTTAAGCAATAGTGTTCAGTTCTCACATACTCATTCAAATCAGGAGAGTTGCAGAGCTAGAAAATGTACTGAGAACTTTTACTGCTTGAAGAAAATCAGTGAAGCACTTAACTTAATGGAACCCTCCCTGAAAGCACTCCAAATGTACTCCTTGGGAAGGAGACAAAGAGAGATGTCTCATACCAAAGACATGAAAAATACTGGAGGAGTAGGTTCCAAATCTGTACAATAAAATTACAACATTTTACATTTCAATTCTACTGAAATGAGAGATCTGGTAGGAAAGTGTAAAATATATTCAATGGAAAGATGGAGTACCAAAAGCTCAATTAGAGTACACAATGTAAACATCAAAATTCCAGAACACTTCAACCTCATGCCAACAAATATAGGAACTGCCACTGGAACAAGAGCAACATAATTCTGCTGAAGTTACTGGATCAGCCTGGCAGTGATGGCTGTGTGTGCCTACAGACTACTAAAGCAAACAGCCTCAAAGACCAGGCAATCACAACAGGAAAATATGCTAACAAGGAAACACAAGTAAGGGAAGGGAACTATCAGGGGAAAAGCACCAAGCCATTACGACTATATAGCACCGGGAAAAACCTTTGAAATAGGGAATGAGTTATGGAACGGTGATCACAGGGAAATCAGATTCAATATAAAATGGAAAAGCTCTGTTAAGGTATCAGATTTCTGTTAAGCCAATTTTAACTTGTTCTGATTACCTGATTGTCTCATTTCTCAATGGTCCAGTTTTTTTTTTCCAAAATCTTTACTGAACTACTTTATCTGAAATTTTTTTCAGAGGATTTATCTTTGCTTGTTCTGCTATACAAACTTCATAATTTTTTTATATTTTTTATTTATATTTTAATATTTTGCTAGTTTGATAGTTGTTCTCCGTAGCCTCCCCCATTCTTAATTCTGCAAGAGTGATCAACTCCTGCTGATGATGACAAAGAAATGGGTGGTATTGTAAGTACAGGTACATTGTATTTACTATATAAGACCACGACATTTTACCTGCAACTGAACAAATCTACATAGGTGGTGAAAAGAATAATTTCAGTTGTTTAGTGTTGACAAGAGAGGTAATTATTAAACAAATAATAAAATTGAAGCCCTCAACCACACAATGTATTTGGAATGTCAAGATGAGCGTAGCGAGTTCTTGTATTGCTCATTTAAGAAATCATTAAAGTGAAGCAGAGTACCATAACTAAAAAAAATTCCACTTCTGTACCTCCAAATCCTATGATCATAGGATTTAGTAAGAGCAATTGCTATACTGTAACTATATATTAAAATTATAAAGGTATATATTTTACAGTACCAAGTGGCATCTTTAAAGCAGTGAAATGGCTGACCTAAGAATATACATACAATAATCACTCTCCATATTCATTTAGTCACACATCTGAACCGGGAATACAGAAAAGTCCGAGATCAGTATAATATTTCATGTAAGCAGGAAAAGTAATATACATACTGTATTGTTATTGTATTTTACAAACTTTGGAAGGACATGGTCCTACATATACCAACCTAAAATTTCAAATTTCAGCTGCATGATACAGTTAAGATTTGCATATTATTGAATTACAATACTGTACATCAAATTGGCAGTAGAGCATTCACTATACTAGTATTAATAAATATGATTTACAAAAAGTTACTAAACTCTTGTATGTTGAGAACAGTGAAAAGAACTAACATTAGAACAATAAGAGACTCACATTCTGTACTCTATACTCCTTGTAAGATATCATGGTGTCCTGTTAGTGGATATCTGGGAAAAAGATGATGCCATTAGAAATATATCCATTCCCTCGATAAACTGGATTTCTACACTAGGCCAAGAAGGAAGGCTGATCACAAAACTTGTTTGTTGCATTTGAATTATAAATTCTTTATTTTTACATAAATTTACAAAAATTGAGGCTGGATTCAACATGTACATAGGTCTAAATTAAATATTAAATTAAAGTTTAAATTTATAAAACCAAATTAAATTATAAGACAGGCAGGATATTTTATTTTCAACAATATATAAAACACTAAACAAGCAAAACATATTACATAAACTTAAGATAATGAGAGATAAAATATAGTACAATTTACCTTCAGTCAATGAATAAACAATCTAGTTAGAGAAATAGTGATGGTAAAATAATCAATGATGGTAGATGGGTACTAGTGATGGTACTGTACATGGGTACTAGTGATGCCAGAAGGGTGCTGGTGATGCCAGAAGGGTACTAGTATCAATAACCTCTAGTATCTAGTATTAATAACCAGCTAGTATCACTAACCCGTTTGCTGATGATGCCAAAATTATTAGAAGGATTAAGACAGAAGAGGACAGCATCAGGCTTCAAAATGATCTGGACAAACTGAAGGATGGTCCAAGAAATAGCTATTAGTTTAACCTGTGCAAATGTAAAATAATGAAGATAGGTGTAGAGAGCAGGAAGCCAGATACAAGGTGCCATTTGGGAGACCATTTGTGCCATTTATTCCTTCAAGAATAAAGGAGAGACCTGAAGTTGATATCACGCCAGACCTGTCCCTTGAATCCGACATCAAGAGGATATCATCCGTGGCATATGCCAGGTTGGCCAACATAAAAAGTGCCTTTTATAAACATGCATAAGGACTGATTCGCAGCCTTGTATACCACATATGTCAGGCCAATCCTGGAGTATTCAACTATATCATGGCATTATCTAGCCAAGCACAAGACTAAATTTAAAAAGGTTCAAAGGACATACCACCAGAGCTGAGAGATATAAGTTAACTACAGGAACTGAACTTTGTGTCGCTGGAAGACAGAAGCGTTAGAAGAGTCATAATCACCACATACAGATTCTCAAATTTATAGGGGTTGATAAAGGTAGTTTATTTAATACAGGTCATATACACACACAAGGGACACAGATGGAAACCGAGTACTCAAATGGCCATAGAGACATTAGAAAGAACCTTTTTAGTGTCGGTAGTTAACAGATGGATTGCAATAGGAAGTGATGTGGTGGAGGCTGACTCCATACACAGTTTCAAGTGTAGATATGATAGAGCCCAATAGGCTCAGGAACCTGTACACAAGTTGATTGACATCTTCTTGTTGATAGTAGGTGCAGTTTGCATGAAGGGTTTGTCCTCCCGATGACTGCACCAGTACTGATGTTGTTGGACGCGTTTATGTTGAAGATGATCGGAGCTACCAAGGTGCTTGTTGCTTTGTGCTGTAGATAGAGGAACGGTGATTAAAACAGAGGTGTGTGTTAGAGGGAGACTTGCCGCACCGTAGGGCGGTGTGTTGTGTTTATGGCGTCAGCTGATCCTTGGTGTTGCGACGAGGCAGTTGTTTTCTGTGTTTAGCTGTTGGTGGCGCCAGGTATAAATGTGGCGCGGGTCAGATGTGACCCAATTTGTTGGTCGATTGGAGATATTTAGCCAGTGCTTTGACTATTTGGTATTTTTCTTGTGACGAGTGGTCACCGCCTCCTAATATATGCTCGATGGTGAAGGGTATTTTAAGTGCGATAAAGACTTGTTTGAAATTTACTCTGGCACTATAATGTCGGAAGCAGTGCAGGAGATAGTGTTCGACTGTTTCAGGCACCTGACAGTGAGTACAGAGTTCGTTGATGTCTGTTCTGTACTTAGAGCTGTGTGCTGCTAGTTTGGTGTGTCCCAGCCTTAATCTGGTCATCGTTACATCAATTTCTCTGCTTTTATATCGGACATGTTTCCAAGTTTCCCATTTCTTTTTAATGGACCCATAGTGCAAAGGTGAGCATAACGTTTTCCAGTTTGTTGCAAAATCCTGGGAGATGGTATCTTTGAAGGCTCCTTTACGTGCAACATGGGGAATTGGATGACGGGTGAGGTGAGGCGTGTCGTGCATTGCTTTGGCTAGTTGGTCTACAAGTTCATTATGGAGAATACCACAATGTGCTGGGACCCATTGGATAGAGGTGTCATAACCGTTCAATTGATGTTTGTGAAGAAGTTGAAGGCATGGGTAGACAATCTCCTTGCATGTTTTCGAAGAGTACGAAATTGCTTGAATCGCGCTCTTGGAGTCACTACAGATTGTATATATCCCAACTGGTAATGTTGTGATGATTTGGAGAGCTTGATACAAGGCATATAATTCCGCTGTGAAAATAGATAGTTGGTTTGGTAACCGCCATCCCTGCTTGAGATGGTATTCCGGTATCCATACAGCGCAAGTGACCGAGGGTACGTTGTTCATGAAGATGCGAGACCCATCTGTGTAAATCTCTGTGGTATTTGGGTAGCAATTTTTCATTGTTGAGACAAAGACTGAGGCTATGGCTGAGTTTGGTGCAGATTTTGGAATGTTGTCTTCGAGTTGTATTGCTGTATTAGGAGTTGTATAAAGCCAAGGTGGAATGGGGGGAACAGGAGGTTGGGTTTCACAGTTTTGAAGTAGGGAGAGGTCTATATTGAGGTTATTTGTAGCCCGTGTGAGGAAAGGTTGCGAGTGAATGGTTGGGGAGCGGGGGTTATATGGGTTAACTGTTGGGTTAATTTTTGATCTGTATGGGTGTGTCTGGTGAGCAGTGGTGCAGAGTGACAGATAGTTGGCACACATAATGTCTCGTCTGGTGGCTAGGCTTGTGAGGCCTGTTTCCCCGTAAAGTCCGAGGATTGGAGTTGAACGCATTGCGCCACATATAAGTCGCATGGCATTATTTTGTATGACCTCGAGGCTCTGTAGGTTAGTGGGCGCCGCCGACGCATATGCTTGGCAACAATAGTCTAGTTGGCTGCGAATGTAGGTTGTATAGAAACGGAGCAAGATTTTATGGTGTGCTCCCCAGGTGGTGCCAGTGAGGGCTTTAAGTATGGCGAGTCGGGGTTGTGTCGTCTGTTTAAGGTGTTGAATGTGTGCTTTCCAGGTAAGTAAGGGGGAGTCTAAGCGCATGCCAAGATATTTATGTTCTCGTACGTGTTGGATGGGAGTGTTGTGTATTGTGAGGGTGGGTAGATGAAGTAGTCTTTTTTTAGTGAAAATCTGATAGCAGGTTTTGGTAGTACTGACTTGAAGGCCCCATTGTTGTGTCCAATCTATGAGGTGGTCCAGTGCTGTTTGCATTGTAGAGACTGTATTTGGTAGGGCATTGTCTGAATAATACAATGTTAAGTCGTCGGCGTACGCCGAGAGGTGAACAGGATGGGTGTTAGGCAAATCTGCTAAGAATGCGGCAAATAGGGTTGGGCTTAGTATGGAGCCTTGTGGAACACCTGTTTGTATTGGGATGCCATCGGAAAACTCGCCTTGTATAAAGACTTTGGAGGTCCTGTTTGTGAGATAGGACTGTAACCATAAAAGTAATCTTCCCTGTACGCCTAAACGTGCAAGCTTTGCGAGGAGGCAAGTATGAGGAATGCTATCAAAAGCTCCTTTGAGGTCTAGGTAGACAACAAGACAATATTTACTGCTTCTGAGAGAGGTGCGGATTTCATGTTCAAGGCAGAGTATTTGATCTAGCGTGGAGCATTGCGGTCGAAATCCAGCTTGGAGTGACGGTATAATATTGTTATACTCTAGGTACCATTGGAGGCGAGTATGTACTAGCCTTTCCATGACTTTACTGAGGCATGATAGTAGGGAGATAGGTCTGTATGACGCAGGTTGGGATGGGTCTTTTCCTGGTTTAAGGAACGGAAGAATAATACTGGTCTGCCATTGTGAAGGAATATTTCCGTGAGTCCAGCATAGATTGTAATAGTTTAGAAGAGTGCTGTGTGCAGTCGGTGGAAGATATTTGATGAGCTCATATGGAATTCCATCCTCTCCAGGTGCCTTGCCAAGAGGTAGGCGGTTTAAGGCCAATCGTAGCTCGCTTAAGGTGTACATGTTGTCGACGCCGAGCATGGGCAGCGGTATGGCACGGTCAATTTCTTGTCTGAGGGAGAGTTCTTGGGCATGAAGGAAGGGTGTTGAGAGGGTAACTTTAAGGCATTCAGCGAGAACACTTGCACGCTCCTGAGGTGTTTGACAGAGTGAACCGTTGATCATCAGGGGGAACGAAGGGAATGTTGGGCGACCTTTAATGCTGTTAAATGTAGCCCAGACTTTTGAGTGCGGCGTTGTGGGTGTGAGGCTATCACAGAATGTTGCCCATGATGCTCGTTTTGCTGATAGTATGGTTTTTTTGGCCGCTGCTGTAGCCCGCCGGAGATTGACCCAGTTCTGTAGGGAGGGTTGACGTCTTTGTTTTTGAATGGCTCGTCGGCGTAAAGC